GAAGAAGGGACATATTACAAACGATCTAGAAACATCACCTGGGCATTTAGGGATGTTATCAGGAAAACCAAAGCTCAGCTGGAGTTGACAATTACAAGGAATGATAAAGGAGCTTCACCTGCTGAACAAAGAAAATGAGGCACTTTTGCTGAAAGGTAGATTTTGTAACAGTGGGGGCACAGATAAAACAGAAGTACTGTGTGCCTTCTTCACCTCAGTCTTTACTAACACTCTGATTAGAGAATTTTTTCAGAAAAGAGCTGCCAGCAGTGGAAGAAGATCAAATCAGGCTTCACTTGACAGTACTATGTTCAAGAACATTGAACCAAATGGACTGCATCCAACAGCCTTAATAGAACTGGCAAATGCCCTCATAAGAGAACTTTATATCATCTTTGAAAATTCAGGGTGACCAGGGTGACAAATGGAGAAAAGCAAACAACTGCAAAAAAATCAACAAAAAAAAAAACACCTTAAAAAAACCCATAAGGACAGTTTGGGAGATCACAAGTTCATCAGACTCACTTTGTTCCTCAAGAAAATAATGCAAAGTCTTCTAAGACCACATATCTGGACATATGAAACATTAGGTGGTAGCCAGTAACTATAAGGATGCAGTTATCAAATGTAAATTATGCCTGACTAATCTGTTTTTCCCTTTAACAAAATGACTGGATTTACAGACCAGGGCAGAAGGGTGTGTGCCATTTCTCTTGACTGTAGCAAGGCTTATCAATACTGTCAGAGAATACTCTCAACATAGGAGTATTGATGTTACCGTCTGGATGGATGGACAATTAGAGGAGTTAACAACTGGTTGGATCATCATGCTCAGAAGGTATCAAACATATTGTAACAATGGAGTAACATAAGAGCCTATCCTGAAACCTGTTTTTTTCCTATTATCTTTGGCAGTGACTCTCTAAAATTACATGCTCATCAAGTTTGCAGATGACACCAAATTGGATAGAACAGTCAATGCTCTTGAGGGCAGAGCTGCCACGCAAAGACATACCTGAACAGACAAGAGGAACAGGCTGACAGGAACCATATGAAATTCAACAAGACATGCAAAGCCTTGGAAAGGAATAACCCCTTGCAATGATACAGGCTGGGGAGCAGCTCTATGTAAAAAACCTTGGTGCATGTTCAGCAAGCAAGCTGCAAGCCAGGAGCATGCCTTGGCAGCAAAGAAGGCCTACAGTATCCTTGGCTGCATCAACAGTAGCGTAGCCAGTAGTCTGAGGAATGTGATTATCCCTCTCTAATCAGCACTCATTGGACCAAATTTAGAATACTGTGTCCAGTTTTGGGCCCCCAGTCCAGGAAAGACACTGATAAACTGGAGCAAGTTCAGCAGAGGGCTGCCAAGCTGGTCAGGCAGACATGCCCTGTGAGAAGCAGCTTCGGGAACAGCTTGTTCAGGCTGCAGAAGGGAAGGCTTCAGGGGGACTTACTAACAGCTTTCCAATACCTACAGGGTAGCAAGCAAGAAGATGGAGCCAGACTCATGTTGACAGACAGTGAAAAAAGACAATAGGCATAAACTGAAACAAGAGAGATCCCAACTCAATATAATTAAAAAACCCCACAACTTTTCACCGTGAGGACAAAAGCAGTAGGAATAGGCTGCCAAGAGGGAGATTAAAAACCTCCAAGGATAGAGACTGTACAAAACTTGTCTGGACAAAGCCCTGATTAACCTGAGCTGACTCCATAATTGACCCTGCTTTGAGCGGGATGTTGGACCAAAAACTTTCTGATGCTCCTTCCAACCCAAATTATTCTATAATCCCAAGTTTAAGCAATGCTATATACAATGTTTTGCATATGCTTGCACAACTTTCCAGCAACTTTAGACCACAAACCTCCAGGGCTGTGCGAACACTGTCCAATTAACTCAAACATTCAGCACAAGCCTAGATAGAGTTCAATTTGTTTTTTCTTCCTGAATACTACTGCACCTCGAGATGCAATCACCTTCCCAAAGGAAGCAGATGAGAAACAGCATTTTCCCTGTCGAGGGGAAGCAGAGAGCACAAACCCTCATGGTGGAGGCGAGCTGTGCGATGCTCCGGAGGGCTGTGGAGGCTGCAGGGGCCCGGGATGCGGAGCCGCTCCGGGGCGAGCGGGCCCCGGCTCCGGTGTGAGCTGGGCGATGGTGACACCCAGCGGCCGCTGCCTGCGCCGAGGGCAGCGCCCAGCTGAGGGGAAAACATGCTGCCAACCTCCCAACTCTGCCACTCTACAGAATTAATGGGGATTTTAACGTGTATGTATATGTACACACATCCCCCCGTAGCAACCACCAAGCACAGTAACCAGCATGACTGCTTCTGTCCCCCAATTTTAAGTCACAATTTTTAAACAAACTTGGGAAAAGTAATTTCAGGAGTTCTTCCGGCCTAAAAGAAAAGCGTTTTCAGAATGATGGATTAGAAGCGCAGCTTCTCATTTATACCAGCAGGAAAGAGTTTTCAGATCTTAAAGTGTATAATCATCCATTTCGCTGACAAATACAACATTGATATGCTCCTTGTCAAGAAGCAGGTGTAAAAAAGTAGAATATCCAAGTTTTCCACTGTCCAAGTCTTATATGTACAAATCTATAAAGTTTTAGCATTGCAAGTTTCACAGCACCCTCAAATGTTAATGAATATTCATGCTACTGATTCTTGAAAGATTAGTGATGTCTTCTAATATTAGACATCTAAAGAATGAGGAGAGGCAAACAGTTTCAACATGCCAGAGATTTTTAGGAATGTTGGCTTCAGTGAATACACCTTGAAACTACCAAATTTCATTTTGTCTTTCCATTTCTCCTGCTATCAGGAGTGCCATATTTGAACCAAACCATCATAGTTGCATTAAACTTCCACTCTGTTTGACAGATTTCCCTTTGTTCATCCAATCTACCATTCACTTTCTTAGCTGAATGATGGGGAGATGAGAAACACTTTTTTGTTACTCTCCATAGGTTAGCAGATACTCGGTTGCACAGTATCTCCCAAGTTCAAAATATTCTTAAGCACTTCCCACCACTGTCCAAGATCTTCAATTTGGTTTCTAGATTCCCAAAGCAAAGGAACCAGGCAGATGAAGAAAGCCTCTTTTCAACATGCATCCCCACAGTGACCCACCATTTATTTGACTACTTTGTATTTTGTGCAATTACAAGCTTCATAAGATGCCCACTGTAACAGAATTAAACCTAAATAACAGATTTCTAATAATTAAGTAGAAAACATGGCATTTTTCTTGTGGCATAGCCAATACAGAGACCTGGTTAATGCAGGTTGGCTAATCTCTGCATCAGAGAAAGAGCAATGCTGCTGACAGGTTGTCTAGTTTGCCCTTGGATTTCTCAGTGGGTTTCTATAGATTAGGTAACTCAGGATTCTGCTGCATTGCTGCCTTTTTACCCCCTCTGGTCCTTACTTTGCAGCAGTAACAGAACAGAGAAAATTCTTTGCACAGAACTGGATCCTCTGGAACTCCCAACAAATGGCACATGACAGGCAGGACACACAGTCCTCATCCATGTGACATAGCAAACACTTGAAAACATCTATAGATACACAGATGAAAAACATATTTTACATTGCCAGGATACAAAGGCCACATGGAATTTGAGAGATGCTACAGTACAGCCACGTTCCACTCCTGGTCAGCAAGACAAACTGCAATACTTAAATGTGTACAGCCAATTTAACAAGATTTATACCCCACAATAAATGGCACAGCAGGTGCAGCAGGGAAAGCTACACAATAAATATCTGAATGCTAAGAAGCATTTCCAAGCTCTAGAGAATTCACCCATTGAGAAGCTGATAACTCCCAGCAACTATCTCACTATGATTTTTCTCACATTTAAACATTCTCTTTTAAACAGAGCAGTAATTAACAAGATACATAATTTTATGCCACACTTTTCTGAACTGCATTCACCTGATACAGTCTTTTCATCCTAAAAAGTTCATGCATATACATATTTTTCCATTTCTCATTTTTTATCAATATACAGTGCCAGATATGATTTAAAGAAAGGAAAACAGCATATAGTATATGATGAGCAAATAGTTTTCTTTAATCATCAGCAGAGACAGTATGTCTCTGGCATACAGGATGTGGAAATGAAAGAATAAAAAACAGAATAAAAAAGACAAAACTGCAAAACAACTTCAGAAATACTTCCCACTTCCAGCTTCAATGGAAACTGAACATTAACTTAAATAATGCTTACTTATAATATTTTGTTTTCCACTGTGAGGATTAGATTCAATTTAAACTTGAAAAAAAAAAGATTCTTTAGTATCAAGGACAGAACTATTATAGCTGATTTGCCAAAGTTTTGTATGGAAAAATTACTGATTATAAATGACAAAATTATTAATTTCTATGAAGCTTAAGAAAATAGCTCTTCTCCCTGTAATAATGCCAGTACTTACCAATTCAAACCCCTGTATTACAGCTACACTTCTCTAATTAATCACAGATTTATAAGCCTGCCCAAAACCCTAACTTCAGTTCTTCAAACACAATCAAAATCAGCAACTCCACCAGAGTCCCCCTAAGAAATAATTCTTATGCTTCATTTATATAGCTAAAATGGAAGATAGAAAAGGCTAAATAATCAACACTGTCATTTGTTAGCAGCAATAAAGACTCCTTTACAGAAGGGTAAACAGAATGAAATGACCAAAAGGAAGGAATTAAGCAGCAAGAAGTAAAGCACATATCAGTTTATGTACTTACCAGACTCACAAGTTGGAAAGTGTGTAACTTCATTTACAACTAGGGAAGTAACCAAACCACCATACATACATAGATTTGATAAAAATTTAATACAAAAAAACCCTCAGAAATTCATAAGCTTACCCCAATTGTTTTTCAATTAAATTTTCAAATTGGGTATTAATTTTTTTAAAATTTACTCTTAATTTAAAAATTTTGTTCAAGCACAAGAGAAGGAGGGGCTCACCAAGACAAAAATCTATTACCTTGTATTTAAGATTTCACCAACAATTTCCTGCAGCTTGTCAATAAAATTAACAAAGCTGGAAAGCCCTTTTACATGGGCTCTTAAAGGATCATACAAAGAAGATGCAGAGTCTCTTCCTCCAAGTTCTATGGTCCGGATAAAAGATGTTGCCATCTATTAGGAGAAATAACCAGAAATATCAAACTACAGACAGACATGGACTGTACATACATTGAAATGAGCCTTTCCTACAGGTCTGTAAATTATGTAAAAGCTGGCTGATAACTAGAAGGTATAACTAGAAGTTACGGTGGCTGATAATAACTTGAAGTTTGATTTCAGGGAAGAAATAACTTCCCTGAAATCAAACAACAGCTCCTAATTGCAAGCTCCGTACATCTCAATATTTGCAAGGTCAAAACTTAAATTGAATGACAGTATTTAAAAAAAAAAACCACAAGCCAAAGTAAAAATAACCCAAACTAATTTGATGGTTACATCAGCCTTTTGAAAGTTTAGGACAAAAATCTTATTAAATCATCAAACAAAACTCCTTTGTGGTTGTGGCTTTCAAACGCTCCTCCTGGCCTCACAAAAACTGCTCTTATATTCAGAGGGCTCTCTATGACCCAAGGACAATTTAAAATAAGCATGTAAATGTTGACTTCAGCTTATAACAATTTTCAGAGATGCAAATAATGTATATTTAAATCTTATCAGAAATAATGACAGCTAAGGCTTCTGTCATTCTGAAAGTGTCAATATATTTTTATATGCTGTAAGATAATGAAGATTTGCCAAAAGCATACCTTAGAGTACAACCCCCAAAATTTTAAAATAACAGTAAGAAAAAACCCCTAGCAATTTCCCAGGAAGGTGAAAGTAAGGATAATAATCCAATGCACTTGACACAGATGCAGTAACATTAATTCTACACACAAATTTTAATTTCAGAGTACAGAGCTAAATCATAAAGCTCTTAGGGCTGGAAAGAGAAAAACTGGAATTACTCTAGCACAGAAAGTAAACCTGCCAGTATTCCTGTCTTTGTGCTCAAGATTTCCTACGGATCAAGTACACAATTTGTAGGACTTTGCCTTCCCAATGGAAAATACTCTCATTTTCAGGATTTTTTCATGACACAGATGCCAGAAAAGATGACTTTTTACACAGCAGAGAAGTTTCCCCTCTGGCAACTGTGAAGAAGACATGGTAAATCCAGTCCAAACACATACAGCTTTTTATACAATGTTCACAGAGCATTAGGAGCTAAAATAATTAAACCTGGAACTGAGATTTCACAACTTTTCCATATTTATTCACCCATAATGCGGCCGCTTCAGTGACTACATACCCATACTGTTTTTAACTCAGACTGCTGTTGTGTGCACTGAGGTTGCACTGCATGCAAAATTTAATGACTATTTTAAGTATGAGGGACTACAGTGGTTCTTTGGAGAAAGAATTCTTATTTGCCTTATTTCAACTATTTTTGAGATGGTTCTTTGCTGACAACTAAAGCATGATCCCCTTTTAGAACTCTTGAGAGACACACAAACTATTTTTACTGTCCACCTTGAGATCCCATGACCAAACAAGAAACTGTTTCTTCCCACAGAATCTATTGTCTTTTTAGCTTTAAAATCCTGTTCCTGGTGGTACTCGACTCAGCTTGCAAACAGTGTTGCTTATTAGATTAAAGCCATATTCTCTGTTTAGAGATCTAATTTATTGGCCCTGACTTCCAGGAAGATTCCTTTGACAACACATACCAGAAAAATGGACATTTTTCTCTCCTGTGAGGCATGTTTGAGGTTAGTGAAGGCTTCTCTACCAAGTCCTCTGTCAGGAATATTTAGAATATGAGCCAATGCCAGATCATCCTTAGAATTCACCAAAAGGCTTAAATATGAACAGACAGACTTCTTTGCCAGGACTGCCACCTGCATGAGAAAACATCACACAAATTGGTCCTCCTGCTGCTGAAAATAAGGTTTCATTTTATTTTAAAGTTAATTAGACTTCATTAATTAATGAACTGGTGTAGTTTTTGGAAGAGTATGAATTCATCTTGCATAATTTCAAAATGCTACTTTATGCATGAGGATTCTGGGAGTCTTGATGAAAACAAACATGATAAGTTAGAATTGCATACATGGTACTTGAATATTCACAAGGTGTTTGAGGGTTATTAAACTGTTTATAAATTTCTGTTTAGAAACCTCCTCATAGACATCCCTTTTCTATCTCAAAGCAAATACTAGCACCATTAAACCATGTAAGTTTAGGGGAGAATTTCAGCTCAAAAAATATTTCCTTGTCCAGAAATATTTTGAGTTATACCCAAAAGATTGCTTTGAAATTGCCATTTATTATGAGAACAGCAAGTTTGGAAATTACTAAAGCTCCAGCATTTCAAATACTGTGAGAAAGTACCCAGAGATTCTTATTTTAGTGGTTGAAAGGGTAAAGGGAGAGAGTCCTCAAGGGCTCTGTTGGGACAGCCAAAACTTGTTTGCTGTGCTCCAGCTACCACTACAGTGGCTGTTCAGATTTCTTCCATCTGTTAGGGACTACAAGCTAATAAAATGAAATCAAAGGAGAGTACTTCAGTTATTTAATGTGCAGTCAAAACAATGTTTGAGTGATGGTGTATTTGAAGAAAAATTTGTTCTGCATCAAGTGCCTGTCATGCTGGACTGCCTTCCAGAATATAAATTTCAGCACACAGCCCCATACACACCTAAAATGTACTCAAGTGATACAGAATTTGGATATGCAGGTTGGGTTTTTTTGAACCCAGCCACATGGGAATAACAGTCATTGGAAAATAAAACTATGTTATATTTCATCTTTTCAATAGATACAGATCATCACAAGAGACAAAAATAATTTTTACCTTCACATGCTCCTGGCCCTGTCTGTTGATTCGTGTAGGAGTAGAAAGAACAGAACCATTATTTTCTTGTGCATTCATTACACCAGAAATAAATTCCAACAGTTGAACCTTTAATAAAAAGATGATAATAAACTTAAATATGGAGATTACTAGAAAGAAAAGTGGGTTTAAAACCTGGTGTAAAGCTATCTGTCACTTTGCTAGTGTTTGAGGTCAGCAGAGTCCTTACAGTCTACTTTTAGTTTTAGTCTTTTGAAGTACAACTGTTCTAGTACAGAAATGAAGTGCAAGATTAAAATGAACTTAGAAATTATCTCAAACAGTTATGTTATACACTTGCACTAAAACCCACTGCTTGCATTTTGGAGAACATTAATATGTTATGCCAAGTTCAGGAAGACCTCATTAACCCATCTAAGCGCTCTGTCTTCCCCATGAAAACCAGGAGGAAAAGAAAAACACATTAAAACTCCCAAATAAACAAGAGACCTGCAATAAACTACAACAGAGCTGTAACTGAGTGGCTGAACTAGAACTTCTGAAAAAAAACCCTTACATGCAAATACATATATTATACAGAAGTTTTTTAAAAGAGCATGGTGTTTTCAAAACAGTAATCATTGAAAATATTTTGCCTGCACATCAACATACAACCAAAACTCCATGGCATGTTAATTATTAAGCTTTGTTCCAGTTCTATCAAATCTCTACAGTTTATTTCTCATTCCAATTTATGGCAAGGAGTCATTTATTCATAGAAGACTTGTGGTACCTCACTATCCAGCAGGACGATAGCGAAATAATTTTTGAGTGAATTTAAAATCCCTTTACAAAAGTAAATTAATTAATTTAAACTCAAAGGCTACCCCAAAGGTGTGAATAATCCAGAGCTCCTGTGAATAATTAGAAGTATCATAAATCCATAACTGGAACCAAAAATATGTCACAACAACATAAGAGGTCAAACAAACATAATACTTACAGGGTATATGCTTTCATCTTCAGCTAAAAGACCAAGACTACAGCACTTCTGATATATGTCTATTAAATCTAACATATTGCTTCTTGCTAAGAAGGCATGATAGGCTTTTTTTACATCAGCATAATTTTCAGGTTCTTTCATGTTTTCATACAATCCCAGTTTGTCATGTAACAAATAGTTCCATGTTTCCAACACATCACTGAGTGATACTGTGAAGTCTCCACGGTGCTAATAGAACAAAAAGAAAAAAAAAAAAAGGCAAAACCAAAAAGTTTCATATTCAGCATAGTTTTGAAAACAAATTTAAAGCAAGCTGCAAATATACAAACAAACATATATTTGAAAATCATTATAATTTAAATTGATCAGAAACAAAGTCTCACAGCTTTGCATTGACAGCTGAATATTGTTATAGTCTGTCAGTATTTGTTCCTGATCTTTAAAGTACCAGGCATGTATGAGAAAAACACAGTGAATGTTGCAGGACTACTTTTTGCATAAAGTTCTTTATTTGCAGAAATAGTTTTCAGCATGGCAAGCATTTACTTCCCAAAGGGAGTAAATATGGTTCCCTTACTTTGCTTCAAGCAGTAAACTGGGAAAACACACATCAATTTTTAAAAAGGAGCTTTTCTTTCTTGTGCTAATACAGTTATACTTTATCATAACATTGATAGTGCTGCTACACAGTTCTAATAAATGCATTAAAGCCATGCACATCCCTCTGTTACCACTACTGTAATTAACTATGCAGTATAGACTACATTATTTTGGTGAAAAATATCAGATTTTGTTCCATGTGCCCCTCTGCAATCTCCTCCAACCACTTGCTCTTACCACCTTCTCTTTCATAACTTGTCCTCCTCATTTTTGTCTACACCCTGCTCTTTAAATTGAGTACCAGTTCCCAGCTCCTGCTGGTAAACTTTTGTCCACACTTCTGGTATCTAAAGCACTCCTCAATATGTGGCAGCAAAAAAAGGTGGTTTTCACCATGTAATGTGAGATAAGTGCCCTGTGACCAAGTAACAAGCCCTGCTTTGAACTGTCCATAGTGGCAGATGGCTCCTGTCTACAGCAAAGGTTTAATTCTATTTCATGACATTTCCACATTAAGCAAATTAATTAATTACTTATAAACACCATTAGCAACAGAACACATTAAATATGAAAACATGAGGAATTCTAATAATTTACGTTGTTGCAGCCCAAATGATCCCTCCTTTGGGTTCTAACACATTTAGCACAACTTTCTCAATACACCTTGTTAAATACACAATTCCAAAATCCTTAAAGTCAACTATTTTGATATTGCCTAGGTGAAGAACAGGGAGAGTAAATTAAAGAACACTCACACATATTAGCTTCAAAGCACTTTTCTGCCTCATTTGTGCATGGGTTATGACAAATCAGCACTATGAACTTACATATTACCAGAATGTTAAAACTGCATATGTGTTTTCTGAAAAGCACCTGATTTTCATTTCAGCCCCTCAAAAAATTAAACATACAATCATATTATAACTCAATTTAAACAGATCAAAGCAGTAGTAGATGGGGGAAAAAAATGTTGTTTTCTCACTTTATTTTGAATCAAAATCCTTCAGGAGTACCAAGTTAAAGTACAACTTCATAAGGTATCTAATAAATCAAAACCTTTACTCACCAGATCAAGGGCCTGCAGAGATTAGCAAAGTTTATGTTAGTGCTGCAAAAATATTTTAAATCCAAATATTGCATTCCAGATATTAACCTTTGTGATCAAGCATTTACTGTGATGGCATATTCCATTACTTACACAGTCATTTTGTCAAGTCTCTGGTTTTAAAATTAATTTAAAAAATACTGTGGTGTTTTGCAGTGAGCATTTGTCAACTGGCTAATAGCTTAAGGAAGTTCAAAAAGTCCCATGTTTTCATTCTATTATAGGCAGAAAAAGTATTTCATTTCATAAGACTAGAACCAATACAGTATTATAAAGTATCTTCACTTCCTGGTAATACATCATATTAAGTTACCAGGGGACTCTGGTTTTAGAATGTCTGAAATCCAGTAGCAACATTTCATGCTTCAAGACACCATTTTTTACTATTTTGAAGGTATTGTAACTTTTCTAGAGCTAACTACATAGCAAATCAATATCTATTTTGACAGCAAATTGTTTCAAAAACCAGAAAGTTGTGCATTTCAGCACCAAAATTTTGGCTTCCACCTTCCCCAGACAAAGGCTCACCAACCCTTTTAGGAATATGTGTGTAAAAGACTGCTTTAAGCACCACCTCTGTGTTGGGTCTATTCTTTCCAGGCATACTCCCAGACTGCAGCATTATTTTCTGGCTTTGTCCTTGAGTTGTGTGTCCTGGATTGACAAACAATATGTATTTTATTTACCCTCTGTTAGAGGTATGACAGTTGTCTTCTGTTAAGTAGGTAGTTTTTCCTTATGTCTTCCACAAGCACTCCTCCCTTTGGGGAGACATCTGCTGATAAGAGGCCATTGAATGTCCCTGCATGATTGATAAGAATTACAGCATCCCATTGGGAGATGTTCTGCCCAGAGGGAGGAGCCAAGCATTCCTAACTGGATATAATCTGGAGATTCTGGAACACCAGCACGGCTTCTCCACTGGATTTCCCAGAGAAACAGCTGCCTCTTCCACTGGATCTTCAGAGGAAGACTACACCCTTCTACAGGATCCCTGCTCCAACAGAACCACACCTGACACTGCAGGAAGGCTGCAGCCACAATTCCAATTGGACTGCTACCAACACCCTGACCCACAGGGTGTCAGGTTGGGTTCTGACTCTGTCAGTGTTGTTTTAGTTTACTGCATCATTTATTTTATTTTCTTCCCTAATAAAGATCTGTTATTCCTGCTCCCATATCTTTGCCTGAGAGCCTCACTTAATTTCAAATTTATAACAATTTGGAGGGAGGAGGTTTGGAGTTTCCATTCAGGGGAGGCTCCTGCCTTCCTTAGCAGACACCTGGCTTTCCTCTCTTAGCAGACACCTGGCTTTCCTCTCTTAGCAGCCTCATCACAATATATTACAAGCAACATATCACATAAAATTGCTACAAAGTTAGTTAGGAGTATCTCATTACCAAAAGGGAGACAGATAGAACGGTTTAAGGGAGTAACACTTCAAAATCCCACATTTTTCTGCATTTGCCAACATGGAAACAAGATAATTAGGGAAATCATTTGAAGAAATACAAGACACCAAACAGAACACAATCTTCTTCAGTCAGCACGCAAAATGCACTCATGGAAGCACAGAAAAAAACTAAACCACATACCAAAACTGCTTTTATGCAAAATCAGAAATATACAAACACAAATTTCAAAAGGGGAGAGATATTTCTAAAATAAACAATGAAGCAGTTTTTCCTCCAGTATCAAAGTTCTTATTCTAGAAGAGATTTACAACACATCTAAGTCTGAGAACTTAAACTCACAGATTCTGGAAAAATAATTGTTTTATACACTTCAGTTCCCCATCCCAGTAGCTAAAACAGCCATAGACTGAAAATGACAGGTGATTATTTGACCCCATAACTCATCTACCCCTGCTGATCCACAGGTACAAACAATCAACTTAAAGCAATTGCTCTCAGCTGAATTTCATCGTTAAAATTGTTATTACAATTTCAAACCTTGAGCAAGGTTCTTCTTGAAAATGTTCCTAGATTTTAGGTCTGTACTAATCAATCTAGGTGAAAGGTACTTGCTTCCATCACAGATCTTATCCCACTTGTCTTTATGCCACATGGCTACAACTGTGCCACAAACCAAAGCATTTTCCGAGCGATTCAGAGCATAGATTTTTTTTTTTATTTTCATCCCTGCTGTTTGATTAGGGTTTATCACACTTTTTGCTACCCTTATTCTGGTGAAGTTTAAGATTAATAGATTATAAAGCTTTTAAACTTCCCTAGAGATCTCCTAAAAGCTTTGTCATCTTTCATTTCCACTGCAAATACAGGTACCAGTTAAAACAACAAATCCACTACAATTTTCCAGTCTCCCAAAGGAAGAGAAGTGTATTTTGGTTGTTTGTGATAGGTTGGATGTGTTGGGGTTTTCTCAATACAGTCACTCAATAGCCTGTTAATGAAATTATTTTTATTGCAGTAATTGACTTTACCAAAATAGATTTCCATTCTACAGGTGCTAACAATTCAAAATTATTGTATTTAAATCAGAAACCTAACAAGGGACATGCCCACAACTGGAATACTCTGCATCTTAGTTTGAAGTTTCAGTGCTGGACAAAATAAACCAGACAGATTTTGCTTTAAGATTGTGAACTTCAAAATGGATACCATCTAAAGAAGTGCTTCAGAGGCAGAACATCCAAATGCTAAAATAATTTTAATCCACATATGCAAGCCAAGGTTTGTCTTATTAGACCAACTAGTATAATCAGAAAAAAACATATCAGGGCTTTGAAAACTTGTTCTTTCTTCAGATCTGAAGGAGAAGCTAAACATTTCAAAATTAAATTAGTTGAAAATAACTGCTATAATTTTTGTTAGAGCATCTCTGAAAGAAAAGGTATTTCTGGAAGAGAGGAATATTATCTGGAAGAGGAAAAAAAAAAGGATAAAGTAGAATAAACTAATTACCTCTAGTGGAAGAAGAAAACTTACTGTAAGGAAAACAGGGAGCAATGAACCATAACCTTTTCATGTCTAACTTTTGGCATACAGTAGAACAACACATTTTAGTTCCTATTTTAGAGGTGGCTTTGGAAAACTGTTTGCAGCTTTCCCTTGAGAATCACAACAAACATGACAAACAGCAATCACCTCCATATGTAGTTTTGCATTAATGTCTTTTACCAGTTTTCCAAGAGTTAATGTTGATGCACACTGATTTTCTGGTTTTAACTTATACAGGTATTGTGAGGACACCAGGCTCCTGGCTGGAATGTGTTACATTCCAAAAAGTACAAATTTAGTTTCTTGGCATTCTAATATCCTTACTGTAATGTTTCTGACAATGGGGGATGACTTAACCAGTTTTATACTTAATGTTTAGACATGAGATACCCCCAGTCTGCACATTTTAGACTCCAATTTTTTTTCTGATGCACAAACTGAAGCAGGTTTTCTGTTTGTTTGGGTTTTTTATTGGCTTAGGGATTTCACTTTGATGTGGTTCTCTTGTTTCTGGTATGTTTGTTGATTCGGTATGTTTGTTTTGGTTTTCTTACACTACAGCTTTGTGCTACACATCTGACTTACTATGCACCACTGGAGTAAGTCTTCCAAAAACAGTCAGTATTGTTTTCATCAATAATTAGGTTAATTAGCCTAAAAAGGTATCTTTAGGTTATTAAAACAAGTATTGCAATAGTTCTCCTTAGATGAGACACAGGAAAAGGCCTGATTGTATATTGCAACTGTTTCTGGTATGTTTCAGACATCCTCCAGCTCTGACAAGCCATAATGCTTCTTTCAGAGACACTTTAGGGTTACAATTCCTCTTCACCGTTTGACATTTCATGTACACAAACAGAGAAAGCCATAAAATCCCTACTGGTACTGGGCACACACTCACAACTTACAGGTCCCTACAGAAATTCATTCAGAAATATTTTTGGAGCACTCTGAAAAAAAAAATGCACCCCAAATGCCATAGTTCTCCCATGCTGGTCTATAGCACAAAAGAAACATAGGATGGAAATAAACAGAAGTGACATGGCCAGCAGAAATATACTAGTGTTTAAAGTCTGGAGCTCAAATATGCACATAAAGCACTTCCATCCTCCCATCTGTCTCACAGTTCCTTTTTCTAAACCCTGCTTCAATAGTGCACTTGACCATATTCATTTTCTTGCCTTGTTGCATCTGGCTCTCAGATACACCTTGTTTTAACAAACATCAAGAAAACAACCAAAATGTCATTTCAAGTTGGTGCCTATGGTTGGAAGATACTGAAAAGAATGCTAACCTGTTTATTGACTTCAGCCATGGACAGTTGTAACGCCATCAACATGCAGTCTGCTCCACATACAGTAGTCCTTTCAGAGTTGGAAAATAAAGGCCATTGTCTTCTGAAACACTTCACCAAGTGTAAAATTTTTTGCTGGAATGAAACCATTGTCTAGACTAGAAGACTGATATAATCAAGAGAAAAACAAATACAACTATGCCAGAGGAATATGCAGGTCTTCACTTCCCTACAAGCTGTGCAGACCCTTTTGTATCTTCTTAAAGACCAAGTTCCCAGAATAAACTCTTCCAACTAAACCAGACTTCCCTCACTGTGACAGAGCAACTATGAAGATAAGGGGTTAAAAGTGCTTATGTGTGTCACGCCTTCACGAACCCCTTACTTTCCTTGTACATTATGCCAACATAAAAGAATGTTATCACAAATATGAGTCTCTGTCTCCAAAAGCAGCCTCAGAGTGTCTTCAGTACTTTCTGCATTTGCTATACATTTGGATGAGTGTCTATGAGGAGGTTTTAAACCTGGAAAAAAAGAGATTTAATATTTATAAGAGTTACTAACACCGACGATTCTAAACACTTTTGTTACCAATATAGTCTTATCCTTTAAAAAAAATGGGTTTTTTTAATTCTACAACCCATTATCTTCTCTAGCAATAATTGGAATACTTCATGCTTTGGCCTCTCACATTTGTCAAGACGAGGTGCACGACAATGTAACAGAAATTCGCCTTTAAACTTGTTCTTTTCTGAAACAAAGTTTCCTAACACTACAGGAGCAATACCCATTCCATTGACTTCCAGAAGACAAAACGCAACTTTTGACCTTTTCCCACACAGCTGAGGCAGAGCCCACAGCGCGTTTGTTTTTTGTTATTGGCACGAAATGTACCAAAATGAGGAAGCATGGCCAAGGGAGGACAGGGGACATGGGGAAACAAGCACGACTGCAACAGCAACTTCTCACTCTCCAAAACGCTTGAAGGGGACACTTGACTTGACAGTGTGAAAATGACATGTGGGTCACAGAGGGTGAAAGTCAGCGTGGGGCAGAGTAAAACCTCTCAGATGGCTTTTTTTTCTCACCACCCTGCGAGCTTTCCGAGGGGGAACCATACCTGTCGCTCACACCGAAACAGCCCGAACTCCCTACGGAGCCGTCGCTAACACCCAGAAGCCGGAATGGGCATTACCATTGCGGCCGAGCGGTCCGGCTGGGCCACCCCAGGTCCTGCAGCCATGCCCTGAACGCTGCCGTGCCCTCAGCGCTGCCGCTGCCGCTGTGGCCGGGCCGGGCTGGGGCGCGGCGGCCGCGTTCAAATCCGCCGCGCGGCCCAATGGGCGCGGGGCCGCTGCCCCGGAAGCAGCCACGCCGCTGCCGCTGCCGCCGGCCAGGGCGGGCGCTGCCGGGGAACCGTGCGGGAACGGGAGCCGGGGACGCCGAGGTGCGTGTGGAGCGGGGTTGGGGCACCCCCGGCCCGGGGGAACTCGGGCAGCCTGGCTGGGCCCCGGAGGGAAAAGGAGGGAGTGGGAGGGCAAAGGATGCGCAGGGATGGGGGGAGGTAACGCGCATCCACGCGGTCTGTTTGCCCTAATCGTGCTTCCTAAAGAAATGAAGGTAATGATACTCTTGGTGTTTTCAAGATGGTCTGTTGGCCGATAATTCGGGCTGAGAAAGCTTGGAGAAGAGTTTGAGTGGAGCACCTTTCACCATCTCAAGTGGCACTGCAGGAAAGCTGGAGAGAGACTTTGTCAGGAACTGTAGGGATAAGACGGGGAGCAATGGGTACAAACTGAAAGAGGGGAAACTTTATTTACATGAGAGGAAGAAATTCTTTCCGGTGAGAAGGGTTAGCCACTGGAACAGGTTGCCTGGGGAGGATGTGAATGTCCCAATCCTGGCAATGTTCAGGGCCAGGTTGGATGAGGCATTGACAGCCTTGTCTGATGGAAGATATCCCTGCCCATGGCAGCAGGGTTTGGGACTACATGATCTTAAAGTCCATTCCAACCCCTTGACATTGTAAGATTCTATAATGGCTTGTGTTCATGGGAAGCCTTGGAGGAAGAAAACTTTTGATAGAATTAAAACTTGCATTTGGCTTTAGGAGCAAAGCTATGCAGATTATACGGCTGAAGTATTTACAGTAATATAGTGGACTGTTGTATGAATTAATACACAAAAACACAACTATGGAGAGCCTCTCTGTGTTTGAGGGATGCCTCTGTCAGACCTGGCTGGCTCCCAAGCAAGACATCCATTCTTGGATGCTGAGATCTTCCAATCGTTTACACACCAAAATCTGTCAAAGGTCTGAGATTTCAAGCTGGTTTTCCACGTAGTGTGTAGTTAAAGATCTGATTTACCAAAAAGACATAAACTAACATCAAATCTGTACTGAGACCAAAAGGAATTGATTCTGAAATCAATTGTGTATCTTGGCCTCTTGTGTTCTAGCACAGAATCCTGGTTTTCATGAAAACTGTTTGAATGCACAACAGTATTTTCATTTAGTTTTACAACCTTGGTTAACTTAGTTTTTACTTAGACACAGTCTGTAAAGAGGTAGAGAAGTGAAGAGAATTTGAAGGTAGCAACATATTGTTTCTTCTCATTTGGTTGAAAATGTTAAAATGCTGTGTGTGACTCTTTTGGAGTGTGTGCATTGCTTGGTTTTTTTGTATTGGTCTTGATTTGCCAAGAGTAGCACAAGATCTGCAGTTATTGCAAGAATGTATGTTAGTGTAGTAAATATTTTGATTGACGAAACAAACAGGCTACATCTAATAAGCTTAAGTGCAGCTTTTGTGTTCTTGAACATGTTATAGGAAATGTTTATTTGCTCTGCCACAAATACTTTACATTTTTTATTCATGCAATTTTTTTTAAATTTTTGTGTAGGAATGTGGATTTTCATCCTGAAGAAGACATCACTTCCGTGATACCTTGACTTAGTTGACTGAAAATGAAGCAAGATTCTACAAGAAACACTTCTTACACTGTGGATTGTGAGGATTATGTGCACGTGGTAAAATTCAATCCATTTGACAGTGGAGATTCATGTTCCCTCATTGCTTATGGTGGCAACAATTACGTGGTTGTTGGGACTTGCAGATTTCAGGTTCGTTGTTTTTGTCAGATGAAACTAACATGCCCCTGAAACTGACTTTGCCAGCATCTCTACTGCAGGAAGACTCTGGTCACTTTCCTGTTTCCTCCTCTCCCTGTGGTAAACAAGGGAGAATTTTACTTGTTTATTACACTAACAAGTCTAGGATACTTGTATTTCAGGAAAATATAAATATATATAAGTACATAACGTAGAAATATATATATATATGTATATATATATATATATATTTATGTAAAATACATGTTGGTATATCTGTGCTAATTTTGTATGTATTTCTTTATAAGAACGAACTGTAGAAATACTTACAAATTTTTTTTCTCACAATTGTTTTTACTGGATCTCCCTCACAGACTGTTGGAAACGGTAAAATTTCTAACCTTCAAGTTATTTACAGTTCTATTGTGAAAAATTTTAAAATGGAAAATACTGAGTATCATATATTTTTATACTGAATAAAATGGGGCTTTTTGCCTAGATGCTTGACAATCATTTGAAGACAATTGCTTGGAATTTCTAAGCTTTTTTCCTTCATCTTGCTTCTTTATTATACAATATTATTTTTGTAATTTGTCTACTGTGATTAATAGTGTAGCTGATATTTTTGTTATTATTATTGTTGTTATTCCCCATGGTCTTACTGTTGGAAATTTTCTGAAGAGCACCTAGTGCTAACCGCAAAAACATACTGACATTTGTGTTGTTCACTACGTTGTTTCTGGTGTAGGCCTTGAAAAGGAAGTAATTAACATTTTGACAAGCACTGACACAAGGTGTTTTTCTATAATTTTCATATCCTCCCTTCCCTTCCACATGTGGAGTCAATGAGTATTTCAGAGTAGGAGAGGAAGATGTTATTCTTTCTTCCTGTTGAGAAGCATTGAAAAACTGTGGGTAATTTCATGCATCCTCAGCTGGGTTCTGCTTGGCCTCTACATTATGTAGAGAGGTTCTTTATCTTAAAGCAGAATTGTGACATAGAGAAAATTGTGTAGGAATATCCTTTGAGGTGCTCCATTGGATGTTCTGAAAACTTTTAAAAGCTTTTTAGAGGTCAGCTTATTGACAGAGTCCATAATTTATTGACAGAGTCCATAAATCTTGTTTTATTTTTACTGTTACCTGGTGTTCTGACCAGTGGTAAGAATAAGCAAGCTTGTATTTAGGATTAGATGACAAAGGGCACCTTTTTATCTCCTGCTGTTTGAAAAGAGATTCTCTGGAAGTGACAGCATTTTTCCATGGTGTTAACTCAGAGAGAAGACAGATGAAATTACATGTTTGCTTTTGTTCCCATTGCTTCTTCTCACTGCAGTGTGTGCTAAATTAAATTGCCATGCTGTTCTAAGTGGCCTTAGTTGTACAGACAATGAGCTCAGCATCTTCATAGCTCAGTTCTGATTTTTCTGCTCTTCATTGGCCTCTGGCTTGAGACTGCAATCTGTCATAATTTACTCATACTTTAATGTATTTCTAAGTACTTAAATATTTCAAGTTAATGCTTTCTGTATGTTCCAGGTTTTCACTTTGCAGGTGCTATGATCTGAAAAGATCCCAATATGTGTAATTTTGAAAGCCCTTTCATTTTGTGGTTATCTGATTTGTTAGAAGTCACCAAGACCTTGTTCTGAATTAGCTAACTGCAATATTTCTGTAGGAGGAGGATGCAGAAGTGGAAGGCATGCAATATAAGACACTAAGAACATTTCACCATGGAATCAGAGTTGATGCCATAGCATGGAGTCCTGAAACTAGACTTGATGCTATACCTCCCCAGATAAGGTACTTGACAATAAACAACTACAGTGAATCCTTGTCTCTTACCCGTTTTCCCTAAACCCTTAATATTGGACTCTTCTAAGCTTATGAGTGAAATCTAATTCCTTAGAAATCACTGATGAATCTCTGAATTCTTCAGTATTTATTCTTATATCCTTTTTTTGTTCATTTGCTTGGTTTTTGTCCTCCTTGTTGCCACTTGACCCTCTCCCTACTGAACAAGCTGTAAATAATATCTTTTTAATTATTTTTATGGACCTCAGACATAGTTTCTTTGTACATCTCAGAGAAACCATTTCTTTTAAGAGCTTTAGTGAATGTGACATCATTTGAATGGCCCCCTTTATAAAGCTATTTGCACTGATTTGCTTCACATGTGCTGTGTTTCAGTGTAGGTAGATACTATTTGTGAAAGCCTTTGAGGTGTAAATCTAGAAAATCTAGAAAGATAGTTAGCTATTAAGTGTGAACTTCTGAGTTAAA